TCTAGACCAAGCAAAGTACTGCCTTCTTATAACAAACAAAAAATGTTATATTTCTTGGAGAAGAGCCCTGCACCTGTGGAAACAGCAGAATTCTTCTCTAGCTCACAAGATGCCAGTTCAGTAAGTACTTATCTCCACTGACCGCTTGAGGACTGATAAATTAGCATCTTTAGAGGGTGGACTGTGGGCCGTTAATGTGTGTATAAGTTTTGCCAGCATAAGAATAAATCTTTTTTTTTTCTTTGAAAGCAATTTATTTGTTTCTGGGTAACAGAATACAGGGAAGGAGCAAGGCAACGCCTGTAATCCCCTGGTTGCACATTAGAACAAATGTAGAGAGTTACAGAAGTGGAGGAAGAAAGCCGGCAGACATGAAGCTGGGTATGGCTCCTAGGTGCCTTTGCTTAGGGCCCATAATACTCTCTGAAGAGAATGAGAGGGGACATGCCTCTATAGCAGGCCCTGCATGCCTCATGTCATCCTGAGAGGATAACTCTTAAGAGTCATCTTACTGGAACTTGAGGGACCTGTGCTGTGGGGAGGGAGCTAGCAGAGCCAGGAAGTAAAGTGTCCTGAGTGCAGTGTTGGAAGTGATCTTGGTGAACATTTATGTCCGTCAGCTATGGAAGCATGTACAGTGAAACATCGCCGTTTGCAGATGACACTAACTCTGAAGTGCCAACCTATGAAAATTGAGGTGTTAGCAGTTAGAAAATGAACAAGTTCAAATTCATCTGCTCGGGAAAAACAGCCCTCTATGGTGTGAAGGCTTGAGCCTATCTGTTAGCTTCCATAGAAGATTTTAAATTGTTGGAGAATGTTCCCAAGGAAAACCTAAGTACCACTTGGAAGGCTGTTAAAAAAAAAAAAAATTGACTTCTGCAAGTTAGCTTTTTCTCAGAGTATCACTGGTTATCATGGAAACAGATTGGTATCATCCTGTGTCCTTGGTTTCTAATGTCCTTGAGGTAGTAATTGGGATTATTTTGTTATATGCCATCATTTTTCAAATTATAATGGTAATGGAGACAAAAGATTGTTTTAAAGGTGGAAGGAGGTGGGAAGCAGAGCCTTTGTCATCAGGATCACTCTCATCTGCCAGGCCACAGCTCCAGACAGAGGGGGACCCTGCTAAGCCAACAGTCTTGTAGCAAGGAAGCCACAGGTCCTCACACAGATACAGGAGAGTACATGTGGGCGATGACCAAGGGGGTGGCTGTGACCTCACCAGATTGACCCCATGGCATGGCCATGGTTCTATCTGGATTCTGCTAGGCAGCACAGTTGCCCTGGTGGCTCCAGTCATGGCAAAAGAGTTGCCCTTTGAAGATGCTGCTTGACCCAAGTACAGTCTTGTGTGGCTGGCCACTATATTGTCCCATCTAATAATGTAGGCCAACCTTGGTCAGTTAGTCCTGGGCAGAGAAAGCAAGGCACAGGGTAGCTGTGTAAGAACTAGAGGAGCAGGTAGGAGAGTACTACAGTAGGAACATTCAGAGCCCGGCAGAGTCCCCACCAAGAAGGACACTTGCCCACCCAGGGTGGACAGCAGAAGTGCCTGGTGGGGCTCTCCCTATGCCTCAGTGCTCGCAGGCCCTGTGGAGAACCCATGGCCTGCACCAATGAGCACATTCGCCACACTTTGGAACTGAGCACTTCTCAGCGTGAGTGTCACCCAGCAGTTAAAAGACAGCACATCTGTGGGTCCAAGTGATCACTCTCCCCACCACACAGATGGCACCAAAGTGAAGGGACTCATGGCTGAGCAGAGTAAACCCAGCAGCTTGCAACTGGGACACACTTGAGAGCTTAGAACATTCTCATGAACCACAGAGAGCTAAGGAGTCACTCAGCTTTCTGCCCTGCTCCCCATAGTGTTCCAGTGTCTGGTGCCAGAGCCAGGGGGTGGCTGCAGTAATCAGAAGCTGTAATGATCTTCATACCTTTCATAGGTCACCTGCCCTGATCCCAGTCAACACTCCTTCACTTTCTGCACCTGTCGACCCAAATCAGCAAGACTATAGAACATGCAAAGGCCAGAGTACAGTAGAGAAAAGAGAAGAGGCATTGACAAGGAAGGAAGGCAGAGTGATGAGAGAGAAAAAGGCCTGTGGTATGAGCAGATGAGCTCTGCAGCCATATAGCTGAGGAGAGTGAGAGGGGACATGCCCATATGGCAGGCCCTGCATGCCTCAAGTGCCTTCTCTCGGGCTCAGGGCAGGAAGAGGAGGCCACAGCCCTGAGGAGCAGGGTAGTCCCTTCACAACCCAGGTGTGGTGCTGAGCGTAGCCCTGGTGCCCAAAGAGGCTGATGGAACAAACAAGGGAAAGCACAGACCATGACGCTCCCTGTTCTAGGATAACGGAGTCTCCTTCTAGGTATGTGGCATCCTCCTGCCTCCCCAGCGATACTATGTATTTTCCCTTACTCTTTTTATGAGCATCCTACCCCTTGCTCACCCACCTCGGCCTGGTGCTGGGACTGAGGTCCGCTTGCATAACAGGTAATAGCAGGCGTTTCCTCGTCCTGTGACAGGACATCCTGGCGCCCTCCAGTCTCTCCCCAAGCACAGGAAAAAAACTCAGCTCTAAAATTAGCAGCGTGATAGAAGAAAGGCACATAGCTGCTCTCCGTCCTGTTTGTCAATGAAGCCAGTCTAAACAGGGCCAAATGCATTTCCTTTTTGGGCAAAACAGACCTTTTAGGGGTGATGGTTGGACACTGAGGGGGAGAGAATAGCTGCCTGAAATGCCAAGGGCCATCACCCGGTACTTTTGGCCTTTCCCCCTGGCCACCACCTGTCTGGTGGTTTTTGAACAGAGCCTGGTCCAACCTTGTCACAGGTTGTACTGACCTGGAAATACTCAGGAGAGGGGAGCACAGTACCCATCCCTGTCACCAGTTCCCCAATCCTCTAGGACATGGCCCTAAGGAGACCTTTAGCAGCATCCCTGAGTCTGCTGTGGGACAATGATTTGCATTAATTGGGGTGCTTTTCTCCATTTTGATTGCTAAACAAATGTTATTTGAAAACACCACTACCTTGTCCTGAAATAAGAGTTTGCAGAGAAAGTAAGCTTATCATTTTCAACATGCCAAACCTACTGGCAGTTCTCCTAATAATTCCAAATAAGACTCTCAAGATTTATTAAGAAATACAATATTCAATTTGATTATCCTGCTAGAAGGAGTTATTTTAAGAATCAAAACCAATTTCTTTTGTTTCTTTTTTACCACTAAAATACCTTCATTTTTTAGCCCAGTGTTTCCTAATCACATTTTCCAGATCTTCCATTTCCTTTTTTAAAGGATGGAATTTCAGATAGTCACATGTGATAGAGACTAGTGGTCTCTGGATGACTGAAAACTGTCTCTGTTTTATGGCCCTGAGGTCAGCTGAGGGCAACATGGGCGGCTTCCTGAATGAGCCCTGTCCCCTGGAATCTCATGTTTTCACCACAGTTATGGAGGAGGTAGAGGACAGAACTGAGCCATTTCATTAGTTCTCACAATCAGTGGGGAGCAGAGAGCACCCAGTTTCACACTTGTGTAAACTGAGACTCATGTTGGCTCAGGGTATGCCCAAGTTCATACTGATGGGGACAGAGTATGATGGGGACAGAGCCAGGATACAGTTCCAATTCTGAAGCTAAGCCCTGTTTTCTTCTACCAAAGCCTCATGGGGAACTGACTGGCCCAGGACAACATTGCCACAACAGTGCTCAGGACAGCCCGACGTCCTAACTCTCCTGGGGTACTTTCCATCACATGAGCCCGGTAGGCCTCATTCTAGAAATTGTATTTCTCAAGAAAGATAAGAGCCCAGGATTCATTATTTCCTCAAACGATTTACTTCAGATTCCCTGCCGGTTCTCCTGTCCAGTGCTGGGAGGTGCTATGGTTCTGTACCAAGAAGGAAAGGAAAGTGGGTCTGCTAAAACCTGCCCATACTGGCCCTGTGCTGATGGGGTCCCTTCATAGACACTGAGCTGATGTCAGCAGCAGGAATCCTGATCTTGGCTCTCATCCATAAGCCTTCAAACTCTGAGCCAGCAAGACAGGGCAGCGCTGGGAGGAAAACCTCTGGTCGATTGAGGTCCTGGCTGGATGGCTGCTATGGATTCCACCATTTGTCTAGAACTCCCCCAGAACATTTATGGATTATTAATGACAATTCTATTTCTCTCACTTTTAAAGACAGCAAGGTTTTCTCATGCCCTAGCCCATGTCAGCCCCAGAGTAACAGAGGTGGACCCAGGTGTTGTGGGCCCAGCACCATACATCTGGCCCCCTGGCCTTGCTTCAGGCCTTCTGACCCCCCACACTCCTGTAGGACTCAGGGAAGCATCTGTGTCAGAGTCAGGCAGGGGCATCACATGCCTTACTGTCCACTGGGCCTTCTATGATGTGCTAGCATGTTCTCTACTTGGTCTTATACTGCTCTTAGAATAGGCCTGGGTTGGCCCCAGAAGATCCCTGGAAGCTGTTTGTGATACCTCCCCATTCGTGCTCTTAGCATCTTAGCTGGGAGGTGGCAGAGCCATTGGGGGTTGCAGAGCTTTGTGCTTTCCCTCTCAGCCCAGATTAGGCTGACTTGCCCTTCTTGGCTGGCGCATTATCAAGGGAGGTGAGTGACCCAGGTAGCTCCATGTGGGCTACAGAAGGGTCCACCAAATCTCAAATCCCACCATTTAGAAGAGCAAGGCCTAGTCTTGGTATGTGACTCAGGATTTAGAATGGGAGAGGATGTCTCAGAGACACAAAGCCACGTGGGGCAAAGTGGGTTTCTGTTTTGTTTTATCCATGGCAGCAGGTAGGGAAGGAAGATGCCCCAAGGGACTCTCAGTAGCCCTGTGGCCATACACAGAGGTATACCCGTAGCTCCCCCTCAGACCACCAAAGGCCCTAGAGGACCCCACCACCACCATGGCCATCTGAAGGCCATGATGAGCCTGCCAGTCCTGATGATAGCTAAGGGCACACCTGCCTAAGGTACTTACTTGCCAGCTGGAATGCAGCAGCCATGGCCTCCTCCCAGCACTGGACATCAGGCGACAGCAAGGGCAGGCCTGTGAGCCCCAGTATGAAGGTGAGCTGGCCTGCGGCAAGCGCTGCTGTGGCAACCAGGTTACAGGCTCTCATCATGTCGAACTGCACTGTGGGTGAGGGGAGAAAATATGTGGTTAGCACTGGTGGGCTCTACAAGCCAGGCTGGTCCCATGACAATTTTCTTAATGTCTTTAATGCCTTCAAAAAGGCTACTGCAGAGCCTTTTGAAGCACAATGGCCTCCCCTCACCGGCCTGAGAGCCCCTGTATCTCTTTGACCACTAGAGGCGCCTCCTGGCCCCAACCTTGCTTAAAACAGTCATTCCTCTTGGTTTGACACAATGCTCCTTTGAGGGTTGGCAAGGGAAAGGCAAGTGCACACTTGGGTCACCGTGCTGGTGTCCTGATTACTGTTTAATTCTACTGACAAAGGCACCGAGCTGACAGGAGAGTCTGCTGTGGGCCAGCTACATGTCAGTGCCACTTAGTGCCATCAACTTTCCCATCCCTGGGATAAGGGCTTGTCTGGGTCCTTCCATCCTGCCAGGAGCAGAGCGGGAACCAACCCTGGGTCTGAGTTGCCCTGCCTGTGGCCAGAGCTGGTGGACACTTCCCCTCACTGGTGGCCCAGGCCTGCCTTCTCTGCTCACCACCCACACCCTGGATGCTGGAGGCAGGAAGGCAGAGGACAGAGTCACAAGTTTGGGGAAGATAGTCTTCTGTGGGTGAGCCACAGGGAGTGGGTATTACCTGCAGGGACAAGGCTATTTGGGTCTCTGAAGCAGAGAAGCTTTATCCTCTCCCAAATAAAACCAAGCAATGGTGAGATAGTACTTGACAAGTGTGTGTGTGTGCATGGGCTCCAGTGCACTCCCAAACAGGCAGTGAGTCCACTGCCGAACACAGTGTCAGAGCAGATGTGGTGCATGGGATAACTGCCTCATACATTCTCCAGCCGCTATTTCTGTACCCATTTTGATTGAACAATATTTAGGAAGTTCTGGTTCACAAAGTTTAAGTCATTGCAAATAGGAACACTTTTTAAACAGCCTGCCTAGACATCTCTAGGTACTCTTCAGGAAAATTGACACAGGCATTTGAGAAATAGACCATTGCTGTTCAAGATTGGGTCACTGAAAATGCCATAATCACATATGTAAGAAGTGAGCAAGAAGCAGTGGGATTTTCCAGGAACCCTGAAGGTGTCACGCCTCTGGGGTGCTGCTGTATTGTCCTACAAGGTGGCAGAGATGGGAATGAGGATAGCATGGAGGCTGGCCTGGCATCTCCTGTGCTGGAGAAGTGGCCTGTTTGTGTGACTGACCTGAGTCAGCAAGGGATGCCCTGTCCCCAGAGACTTCTGGGCACCTGGCTGCCTGCTCACAGAGAGTGTCGTGGGAAGCCAAAGTCAGCAGGTGCAGTCAGCAGTGCCTACACACCAGGTGGCAGGTGCGCTGGCCTAGGATGCTTGGGAATGTGCATGCTGCTTTACCTTCACGAGTTTTTAAATGGCTAGAAGTATAGCTTGACTGTTGCCACTATCAGCAGTTCCATTTGGTTCAACCTAAATGTTTATTGAAATGGAATTTGACTTCACAGGTCATGAGTAGTCACATGCATGCCTCACCAGCCTGGTTCCTTGGGCTTGGCACCTGCCACTGCTCACCTTGTGCTGGGCTCTGCTCTCTGCCCCGACCCCTGCCCCATACAGCTGTCATCACAAGAAATGTCTCCCCACCCTCCCTGACAGAATGCCTTGGTGTATGTTCTGCCACGGTGCTGGCACACAACAGGCAGCTCTGCCCTGGGGCTGTGGCACCTGTCCACCCCGTCAACTCCTGCTGTGTCGCCTCCTCTGAATCCATCAAGTCCCTGAAGCTGTACCCTCCCAGGCACCCTCACCCACAGACAAAAGGCAGACCCCCATGCCCCTCCTCTACCCTTCTGATGGCCCAAGCTGGGGGCTGGCCACTATTCAGAGTGGCTGAACCTGCCTCTCCATGAGCGTCCATAGGCCTCAGGAGAATTTTCTTGCTGGTCGGAGGCCTTTATGCACTGCCTGGCTCTGCCCTGGAGAGCTGCCTTTTGTCTGAGCATTGCTGCCACACAGGCTCAGCAGTAGCATTGTAGAGAAACTGAGGAGGAGAAATCCCTCCCTTCACCAGGCCAGCAGGAGCGTGGAATGTGAATGAGGTTTACTTAAAACTTCTCACTGTCCGCCATGAAGTAGCCCTGTTCCTTCAGGTCTTTCTCAGACCATGAGAGCAGCTGGGATAAGCCACCACCGTGAGAATAGAGTGTCCTATACTGTGTGAGCAGTGTCTCTGTGAGGAGCCCTGCATGGACCTACCCATCTCAGGCTGGGTGGTGTCTGATTCATGCTCCTTGGCATTACGCATCTATATTTAGGCTTGTGGCGTCACAGTCTTTTGATAATGTGTCATTTCCTGCCTCCAAGGATCAACCTGTCCTGCCCATTGTATTTCAAGCTGCCTCCCTCCATGGCATCCCCTCCTGTCATTTGGAGTTTGAGGGAACTCACTTCACCCACTTAGATGCAAGGCTTTTCCCCAGGTCCCTCTAGCCTGGTGCTGTAACACCAGCACAGAAGCCCCCAGGCTGCTGGGAAGCTAGAAAGTGCAGCAGAGAGAGCATACTGCCTGCCAGAGGACTGCCACCACCACCTGCCCTCCTGCACCTTGCTGGGACCCAGAGCATGAGACCACCACGATCTCAGCATCCTCACCTCCCCCAAGGCTGAGTGCACTGGGGCCTATGCAGGGAGGTGGGCAGGAGCTGGGACACACTTGGTTCTCACAGCTAGCCCTGACATGACCAGACATAGCACACAGGAGACCACACTCAGGCCTCCATATTTTGAAAGTATCCCGTCCAGGTGTTAGCCATCTGGAAAACTTTGTAACTGTCCTGTGAAGGTTGGTGTTCTGCATAATGTTCTGTCATCTTTACACTTTGTAATTATTTTTACTATTTATATGACCATCTGGAAGGCTCTGATGCTCTAAAATATCATAAAATTGGAGGGGTATTAAAATACTATGGAATATTAACAGTAAGAGACAACAGAGGTTCCACGCTCTGCCTTGAAGGTGGGAATGACTGGTGGGCAGTGGGGCAGGCAGGGCCAGGGCCACTGTAGAGTGCGGCCCCACTGTGTGGCACAGTGGAGCGAGATGACTGAGACTCCCAGGAGCCAGGAATGGCTCAGACCCAACTGTGGGCCCATCCTTCTGCCCAGCCCTGCTCTCCCAGCCACCCTTCCTGGCAACTGCGAGCTCACAGCCTGTGCCACACTCCACAGCTGAGGCTCTCTGTGATGGCCCATCCCCCAAGCCGCTGTGTGGGGTTGGGGTCCTCTGCCTGCATCCCCAGGTTTCTGTGGACTACTGCAGGGAATACCCAAAGACCCCACCACCACCATACCAGGACAGGCAGTGCTTCTAGCTGAGCTACCTTCCTCTGAGGGATACAGAAAGATACCCAGAGGGCTCTTTCTAGAGCCAGAGCCTGGTGTTCATTCAAGAGCACTTTGCCTGCACTTGTGCTGCCATGGGTAACCCTACACAGTTGCACCCTGACCTTTAAAGGTGCCAGTGAGAATGTGGTCCAGCGTGTTCAGCCAAGCAGTGGGAAAAGAAGCCCACATGCCCTGTCCAGTGCCTCCCCAGGAAGCATGTCTGATACCGGTGTATGCACAGCCACCCACGAGATGGGTGGGGGCCCCCCTGAGTGCTGGGCTCCACTTGTCTGCCCCAAGATTCAATTATGTGGCATAATCTGGGTGCCACCTTGCACCAATTATGTGGCATCTCTTTGGGTGCCACCTTGCTCAGAAGGACTTACTGTACCTGACAGTTCATGAAATATGGAAAGATGAAATATGTAAAACAAGACAAAGATACTAGGGACTAGAAAGTGAGGCCAATGCCGACTTAGATAGGGAAGTGGACCTTGGATCCCTCTCCCCTGAACTCTTCATAGGGAAAGCAAAGTGTCTGGTCACTGCGGTCTACATAATAACCAGCTGATGGAAAGAATCCCCATGGTCCTCTCAGGGATGACCCAGCATGTGTGGGAAGGGCACAGAGGGCCTAGACGACCCTAGGACCAGCAGCTCAGGATGCCCCACCCAGAGCACAGGATGTTGGAGACAGCCCTCCCCCTCAGGAGGTCTCTCGCAGTGCTTGTGTGCTGTGGTACCAAGTGATTCCCACTGTTAGGTGCTCCATGGGGAGGGACCTCACCAACCCACATGATGTCTGGAGACTTGTGCTCAGAGCATGTGGTATGTGCCATATCCTGTCCTGCCCTCACTCCTGCCCCACGTTGGATCTCTGGCAGGATTGTGAGCCATCCGGCACTTGCAGCCCCATGGCATAGGATGACAAGGCCCATCCTGTATGTCAAGTGGTTCTCCAAGAAGGACAGCAAAGGACAGCTTAGGTGCGCAGAGAGAGGAGAACCCCAAACTGCCCCAACTGGGCAGCCAGACTCTAGCCACTGCCCTCCTCAACACCTGATCTGACCCACTAAGGTCATGGGATGGAGTTTTGCAGGAGAGCTCCCAAGGCTAGGCCTGATTTAAGGTGCTAGCCAGTGACAGCCCTTGGTTGAGGGGAGGGGGCATAGGTACACCAAGGCTGCCACTGCTTGTGGGGAAGCCACATGGACCAATGTGGAGTGGTTGGTGCTGTGGGAATGAGTTTTGCTGAGGGGAGAAGGTGGGAGTGAGAGATGAAGGGAAAACTTGCATCCATAGGAAAGATACTAGCAGGTTCCTCACCTGGGGACAGAGCCTGTGAGCAGGGTCTGCAGTTTTCCCTCAGGGAGCACTGACCTAGTTCAGCTTTGTTCACCTCGTGTTTAGTCACATAAAACTTGTTAGGAATTTTGTCAGCAACCAAAATTACCCATTTAGCCCATTCATTTTCCTCCATGCAGTCTTGTTAGCCTCATTCATGAGAAGCTTCCCACACACATTTCCGCTATTTGAACAAATGCTGTTTGGATTCATCCAGGGTCACTGCCTGCAGACTCATATTCGTCATAGGAGAAGACCTTGGAAGGCAGCAGAGGAGGGGCTGTCAGGGAGCAGCTGGGCTCCAGGGGCCTGAGGTGACCCTGGGGTAGACCGCAGTGGTAGTGGAGTGGACACATATAGTGCTCCAGGGGCTGAACCCCATCCAGGGTTTCCAGGACACATGTAGGTATTGGGCTGGAGGCCTGTGGGGGACTCCCTCCCACTGCAGGAGGTGCTCTATGCAGTTTGGAGGCCAGTGCTGGTCCCAGAGCACATGAGAGTCCTGACCCCACCTCCTGCACTTTGGGTACAGAACAGTCACAGAGTCCAGAAGGAAAGCTCTGCAGCCAGGTCTCACAGAGGCCCAAGTTCAGCTGTATTTGCCTGGTTTCCCATAAAACACCTGAGTTCTGAGACATCATAGAAATTTCGAAATTATTTACAGGCTTTTATCTTTAAGAAGAGGGCAGGGGGATGGTGCCTGTAGCTCAAAGGAGTAGGGCACCAGCCCCATATACTGGAGGTGGCAGGTTCAAACCCGGCCCCAGCCAGAAACTGCCAAAGAAAAAGACGACGATGACGAGGGTTGGAGCATCAAGTGGGACCTTGACTGAGCCACGTGTTCTCTGAAAGCCTCAGTTTCTTTGCCTGTGAAATGGGTTTGGAGCCCCTCCCTGAGTTCCTTGACCAAGGACTCAGGAACTCTGAGGCATGGCCTATGGCCCCCACATTTTAAGAGTAGTGTTGTCTCCAAAGAGAGGAGAGGTCTGACATTAAAATGTTGAGGTTCTGGCTCGGCGCCTGTGGCTCAATTGGCTAAGGCGCCAGCCACATACACCTAAGGTGGCGAGTTCGAATCCCCAGCCTGGGCCCCCCAAACAACAATGATGGCTGCAAGCAAAAAATGGCCGGCGCTGTGGCAGGCGCCTGTAGTCCCAGCTACTTGGGAGGCTGAGGCAGGAGACTCGCTTGAGCCCAGGAGTTGGAGGTTGCTGTGAGCTATGATGCCATGGCACTCTACCCAGGGGGAATAGCTTGAGGCTCCGTCTCAAAAAAAAAAAAAAATGTTGAGGTTCTAGGACAGAGACTGAGGGGCTTGCAAGACAGAGCCTGCCACAGCTTTACAGAGTGCACTTCAGCAAGCGTGGCTAGGGAAGTGGGGCAGTGCCATGCTCTGAGAGCAGGCCTCATGGCAAGGACCTCATCTGGAGTCAACCCTGGAGCCTCCCTCTGTGTTGCTGTCAGGGTAAAGACCCGACAGCATGAGAATGAGGTCAAGAGTTCAACCATGTATATTCAAGCTTCTCATTTATTGAAAAATATTTTCTTTCTTTCTTTTTTATTTTTTGAAATAAAAATCTCACTTTATCACTCTGGGTAGAGTGCAGTGAGTATTCACAGCTCACAGCAACCTAAAACTCCTGGGCTCAACTTATCCTCTTGCCTGAGCTTCCTGATAGTTGGGACTACAGGTACCCTCCCCACACCTGGCTAACAACACCTGGCTAACTTTTCTATTTTTAGTAGAGACAGGGTCTTATTCTTGTTCAAGCTTGTCTTAAACTCTTAAACTTCTGACCTCAAGCCATCCTCCTGCCTTGGCCTCCCAGAGTGCTAGGATTATAGACATGAGCCACTGCACCCAGCCAAAAAATATTTATTTTCAACCAAGGCAGTATATCTTCCCTTATTTTGATTAACGTACCTGTCCTTTATGCACAGTGGCAGAGAACAAGCCCCCAAATTGCATAAGATGAATTCCCTGTGCAAAGCAGCCAGTGACAGAGTCTATGTCAGACAGGAGAGTCTTGTGACCCTCAACTCACCAGGGAGAGGGTGAGCATCAGACCAGGTTCCCTGGGAGACCATTGCCCTCACATCCCCCCACACTAACCAAATATGCATCTTATATCTCCCTGTTCCCGTGGGCCCTGGTCACACTGAAGGCAACAGAAAAATAGCAGACTTACGTTTGACAGTGCCCCGGGACTCCTGGAAGCCAGCCAACTCAGAGCCCCAGCCCAGCGCCTCACAGTCTTGGATGTCCACCTGGCCAGCTTTGGCCCCAGGGCCAGGCCCTGCCCGGCCCCAGTCTGGCAGCCAGCAGGACCTCCAGAGCCCCACGCTGCGTTTGCGCCCATCCTCTAGCATCTGGTATACCCAGTTGGGGGTGAAGGCCGCTGCGTTGTTGAGGATGAGTGAGACCAGGGCCACCAGCACAGCCACAGCAACGAGTCTCTGGACAGTCATTGCTGACCGCCGGTGTTGCCACCTGTCTGAGAAACCCCAAGTCCCAGTCAGCTGCTATGCACCAAGGGAGAGCTGAGGCGCTGCTAGGGAAGCCTAGAGGACATCGCCACTCATTCTTGGTGGTGGCGCAGGAGGCTCCAGCCAGGCAGAGGAGATGCTTGGAGGGGTCGATGTTGGGAGAGGCCCATAGGACCTGTCCAGGTGAGCCTGCCTTATAGCCCTGTTTTATCCTCCTTCCTGCACCTGGAGCAAGGCAGAGCCTGTGCTGAAGCCAGTTGTTGCGAGGCCCATCCTGGGGAAGAAATGGGGGCACCAGCGCAAATCCAGAATCGTGAGTGCCGTCTTCCTGGGAAGCAGAGGCCAAAGGAGTGTGCTCTCCTGTGCAGCAGCAGAAAACAAAGTAGTTCAGGCACTGCGGGAGCTGGGCCCAGGGCACACTCTGGCAGGTGTGGGAGCAGTGCAGGTTCGGCAGCTGCCCCTAGCTGCCTGGGCCTTGTCCAGGTGTTCTACCGCCTATGGTAGGTCCTGGAAAGCAGAGCACACACAGCAAGGAAGTATGTGTGTGTGCACTCGAGCTGGAGTTTCTCAGTCTCTCAGCAGAGAGGAAATGGTTGTTTTTGAGGCTGTTTTGGTGAGCTGGAGGGCGTAGCCAACTGCAACAAATAGCAGCTCTGCTACCACAGCCAGACACTAACAGGATGTATTTCCTGATGGGAAAAGGCCTGGGCAGACTTCTGAGGCCCTGCTCCAGGCTAACCCCTCTTCCCCACCCCTCCTGCTTATCCCAGAGGAGAGACGAGGGATGCAAGGCACAGAGCAGATCCACCACCTCACCTACTTCTTGGAGCCTGGCTGGCCTCAGAGGCAGACCCCTGTGCCGAGACCTAGAGCCTAGGGATGAGATAGACACCTGGGTGCTAAGAGCCCCTAAGGACCAGTTGCTCACCTTGTGACTGTACTCCCAGGTGACCATCCAGCTATTCCCCAGCATGATAACCACTGCATGCCTGCCCCCATGGCTGGGATCCTGCCCTCCAATGGGGGCACACATTACAGAGGTATTTCTGGATGGGACAAAGACCACATGCCTGGGAACCAGTCAGGGACCACATTTGGAGCACCTCTGGGCTGGAGGTGACAAGAAGAGGTAGGATTCTGGGTGTGCTAGGTGGAGCACTCAGCAGGGACTAGGATGGAGCAAATGTGGTTTTTGGCCTTGCCCATGCTTTGTTCTGATGAAATGATCACTTCCCCTATGGCCACATGAGGGGTGAGGCAAGTAACTTTGCATGCTGTTGTACAGAGTAAGTAAACTGCTGGGAGCTCAGAGGGATCTCCTCTGTCTGCTGAGAACCCTTTAGCACCAGTGGACAGACATATTAGGGGTGTGTCCCTTCTCCAGAGAGCCCACTGGGGCTTCAGATGTCCTACCTCCTGTCTAAGCAGTTCTTAATGCACATACCTGAGGTGCCACTGGGCGGAAAGGGCTCTATAGTGCCAGGGCTCCAGGCCAGAGCAGGAAGCCACTGAACACTTCCTGTCTTCATGTATGGCCTATGTCCGGGCCTGGGGGTGCCCTGAGAACCCCCATTTCCCAGGATTAGTCTTTTTAGTCACACTGGTTCATGGCTTGTACATCACATGGAAAGCGAGGGACCCTGCCCACCAGGTGTACATGCCAGAAAGGTGGACTTCTGACCTGTCTCTGACCAGCCTTGGTGAATCCTCAGCCTGAGGAATGTTTGGATTCCCTGAGGGATTTTGCCTATTTTAGGATTTTTACCATTGGCATTTGTAGCAGATTTGTCCCTTGAGTTTCTTTTTTTTTCTTTTCTTTTCTTTTTTTTTTTTTTGAGACAGAGCCTCACTGTCACCCTTGGTAGAGTGCTGTGGTGTCACAGCAACCTCAAACTCTTGGGCTTAAGTGATTGTCTTGCCTCAGCCTCCCGAGGAGCTGGAACTACAGGCGTCTGCCATGCCAGGCTATTTTTTGGTTGCAGTTGTCGTTATTTAGCAGGCTTGGCCTGAGCTTGAACCTGCCAGCTTCAGTGTATGTGGCCAGTGCCCTACTCACTGAGCTACCGGTGCTGAGCCTGTCCCTTGAGTTTATTACTACTTTTCCTTCTCATTTGGCCTGGCCAGAATTGTGATTGCTGTTGTTCTTGTCCATTCACTCCAGCCTCTGTTTGGTCACACTCTTGGTACCAGGAACTTGACAGAGAGTGCATAGTGGTGCATCGGCCAAGCCATCCTGTGGGTCCTCAGAGGACCCAGAGAGACATCCACAGTCCCTGCACGTGCCCTCCTCTGAGTATGTGGAGTGCAGCATCTCAGATGTCCATGCTCCTAAGCACACAGTGCTATAGGTTGTCTAGAAAAGGAAATTTTCCCCAGAGTTCCCAGTAGGAACAAATTTATTTCCTCCTTAATTAATTTGATCACTTATTTTTAGGTAATGGTTAAATGACTAATGTCCAATAAAAAGGAAGTTCCATCCCAAAGCCCAGAGGAGAAACAGCCCCTGAGCAGCCCTGTCTGGTCCTTTACTTGGGCTGAGTTATGTGGCCACAGCCCAGGCACCCACTCTCAGGGTCAGCAGCTGTGAAGTCCTGGGTCACAGCTTCCATCACCAGCCCTGCCCTCCTGGCATTGCTGGTGTGCTCCTGGCAGGCTACTGGGTCCCTGTTCTTTCAGCCATGCACCCCAATTTCTAGCTTCTGCACTGTGGGAGGCTGGAAACAAGAGGGTAGAAGTGGGAGTGTCCTGCTGGGAGGTGACACTGTCCTCAGAAGGTCTGTGGCTTTCCTGGCAGGGTTCCCATAGAGACCCCCCTCTCCTCCCAGCCACTGAGTGTCTTTGGTCTGCCTTGTAGTCTGACTGCACCCCCCCATGTGCATCTGTGTCACATCCTTGAACAAAGAGGTAGCCTTAACAGAGCAGAAATGGCGACAGTGAGTGTGCCCTTCGGTGGGGACATCAAGCTGCTAATCCCCTAGTTGCTCACTGTCTGGACACAAAAAGGTCTCAGCAGAGCTTCTGCACACACAGGGCTCTGCAGAGACCAGGGCTGGTTTAGGGCCGGCAGCCATGCTGCCATCTGCTTCTTATTTCAGGCACTCAGAATTGATGAAGTACAGATGTGAGTGACATTCCACAGACTGGCCTGGACAACAGGAAATTCTCAGGACTTGGATGGGGACTCAGAGGGTGTTTACTTCTTGGAATTTATGTCAGATGCACAAACTCAGGACCCTGCACTAGAGTTAAAGCTATCCCAAATCCTTGGCAAGTTGTGTGTGGAGAGAATGTCAGGAATTGCACAGGGGGTTGACAGAGTTCTGGTAGCCAATTTGACACAGTATGTGTTTTCGTAGAAACTTGCAGCTGACTTTTTGGGTCCAGCAAGTCTGACCTCAGTTGGGTGAGGGGCCTCTGCTCTCCCTATGGTTTGCTCAAAACAGCCTTAGCCCAGAGGCAAAGGAGCCTATTGGGGCCACTCTTGGAGGGGCACTTACAGCATCTGTCTGCCTGGCTGTGCTACACAGAAGCACAGGCTCTTCCCTGTGTGGGAAGAACCCCTGCATGGCAGAGGCCTAACCACAGGATGGAGGGCTGGAAAGGAGCAGTGTGGCATATCCCTGGTCTGGTCACACATGTGCAGGGAGCCATAGGAAGCTGAGTCAGGTCTTTGGGCCTCTTTCTCCTATCCCGAACCCTCTGCCCAAGAGCAGCTAACCCTGGTGGGCACAGTCTGCCCTATGGGAGATCCTGGCTGGGCTCACAGGTCAGTTGCCAGGTTTCTCTGCTTATTTAGGCCATTCTCTACTTTGTTGTTATTGTTTTTGAGAGATAGAGGCTCTATTGCCCAGGCTGGAGTGCAATGGTATCATCAACCTCAAACTCCTGGCCTGAAGTCATCTCTCCCCAAGCCTCCCAAGTAACTGGGACTACAGGTGCCCACCACCATGCCCAGCTTGTTATTTTTAAGATATGGGGTCTTACTGTGTTGCCCAGGCAGATCTCAAAAACTCTTGGCCTCCTAAAGTTCTGGTTATGCATGTGAGCTACAGAGCCTGGCCGTTCTCCACTTCAATGGGACACAAACCATTTGTTTTCAGGACAAGGCAGAGGAAAGGGAGCCACACCCTCTCTGTGTGGAGGGACATCCCGTCCCTGACCATGCCACACACCTGGCCTCAGGAGACAGTTGAGAGTAAACATGGATTACTTTTTAAACCGTTCCAATTATGTGAAATATTCTGGAATGGGAGAATAAAAAAGATCTGATCTCAAACTAGCATTTTGTTGCCAATGGAATGGTCAGTACACCTCACACCTCCAGTTTGTGCCATAGGCCTGGGAGACTAGCTCCCAGCCCAGCACCCTAAGATAACACTGAGAAGTGAGAGAATGAGAAGCCTCTGAGGAGTTATGATATCCCTTTTCTCCATTCTATAGAATTTACTAGAAGTTATGTGGTGAGAACAGGATATTTCTCTAATTTGGTTTCTCAAATCTCCAGATTTGACCCCTGCATTCCATGTACTGTCACTAACTGGCATTTCTAGACCCAGTGGTCTCTCAGAGCCTGATCTGCTGGGTGTGACCTATGTCCCGCAGGACCAGGGGTAGGGCCAGGAGACCCCAGTGGAGGCAGCTTTTTCTGGGAGGTTCACAAACAACTGGTCTCTACTATGGTCTTTCATGCATTTAACCAGCCCTCAGGGTAGTATAGAAAAATAAGCTGTGGTTTTCTGCTGATTGTAAAGAAAAATTTAAATGAAAAGAAGGTGATGGCTTGGCGCCTGTGGCTCAAGCAGCGAAGGCGCCAGCCACATACACCTAAGGTGGCGGGTTCGAATCCCCAGCCTGGGCCTGCCAAACAACAATGATGGCTGCAACCAAAAAATGGCTGGCGCTGTGGCGGGCACCTGTAGTCCTAGCTACTTGGGAGGCTGAGTCAGGAGACTCGCTTGAGCCCAGGAGTTGGAGGTTGCTGTGAGCTGTGATGCCATGGCACTCTACCTAGGGGAATAGCTTGAGGCTCCGTCTCAAAAAAGAAAAAAAGAAAAGAAGGTGATTCTTTGGCTGAATCCCTTGGATGACCAAGTCTAAAACAGCCTCTTTAAGGAAGGAGCTTGAGTGGGTCCCAGGCATCTGCAGCCTGACACTACTATTACTGATATGAATTCTGAAGCTAAATTGACAAGAAAACAAACCAGCCTCCATGAGAAAGAAATGGGCTGTGTGTGCATGTCCACTTGGGGCATAGACCCTAGCCTCAGGACTGGGGAGAGCCAATTCTGTCCACTCAGCGCTCCCATCCTACAAAGATTTTCACTCAGATTCATCTAAAGGAAGCTTGAGATGTGGCTTTCTCAGAGTGGGGCTGGGCTCAGCACTCTGTTCTCATGAGCTAGTCCTTGCCCTGGGCATGCACACCCCTTCACCCTAGGACAGCAGAGCGCCTCTCCTGGGCAGCCTGCCCTTTCAGTCCCCTGGTACCACTTCTATGGCCTGTAGGGAGGGAGCAGACTCCTGCCCCCTGGAGCAACTGCTCTTTGTGACTGCCACTTTATCTGAGGGAGTAACTTGGAATTTGGACCCTCCCCTCAAGGTTACTATAGTACTGCTGGTTGTAGAGGAGGAGGAGGTGACACCTAAGCTTTCTCACTGCTCAGGGAGCTGCTTTGTAAACATGAGGGTGTCTGCTGAGGCCTTGTACCCTGTCTGTAGATCTAGAGACACAGGCTGGGCAGGATCTGCCAGGGCTCCCTGAGGAAGGCCAGGTCATGGTGACTGCTGTGAATTGAGTGGCCAGAAAGCATATTATACTTCCCAGGCCTCTGGAGGGAATGGGCATGAGCACAATGCCTTCCATGAACACTCAGTTCTCACAGAGTATCGTGTCCCCAGGGGTGGTCAAGAGCCACTTTTGCCTTCCCCAAGCCCTGCAGATTAGCAGTCTGAGTCATTTCTAGGTTTACACCAAGCCTAGTGACCTACTAAGCAGGAATCCAGGGCAGAAGGCCAAGACTGGCATCAGAAGGGGAGAACTCACTAGCACACCTTAGAAAGAGGCCCAAGTAGTTTATTGAGGCTTGTGCTGTCTGTGATGGGGCTGCCGACTCCTGGGCACTGTGCCTCAGATATGGAACCTCGACCCTGTGACCCTGCAGTGGGCTGGGTAATCCTCTAAGGCGCAAGTTCTGCTCCAGGTCCCCAGCTCCCCAGGCTCTACCCTCTGACTATCAGAGGAGGTGGGCTGAGGGTCCCCTTCGTCAGGGGCTGATTCACTGAGAGCTCTGCAGCATCTTCCATCTCCCACTCAGGTGAGAACAGGAGGTTCTGTCTTTGAGGCAGCTCTGTGTATAAGAAAGAAGCCATTGTCTGCGAGCAGGCGGACAGGTCATACAGGGGAGAGCCACAGGAGTGGGATGACCTTCACAGGTTCTTCTGACTCCTAATGGGCCCTGTCTCCCATGTCCTTCGAAAGCTCATCATCAGGGAAGTTGTAAGATGCAGCCTCTGGCCCTAAGCTCTGAAAACCCCCACAGTGGAACTTGGGGCAGTCTTTGTTACATCTGTTCTTGTGGGCCAATGGCCCGTGGTGTCCAGTACAGTCTTGCTGTGCATGGAGCGATGCAGTGAGGCTGCATGCAGGCCCCTCTTTTGGTGGCCATGTGTGCTGACAGATTGCCTAGGGACCAGGGCCCTGTGGGACATGAAGCACTGGCCAGGAAGCTCAGGGAGCCCCTTCTCTGCCTGCAGTGAGGCTGTCTGGGAGAACATGGCACGCATGTGTGTGAAGACCCAGCGGCTGGACGTCGCCAAGGTGTGCTTGGGGAACATGGGCCATGCTCGCGGGGCCCGAGCATTGCGGGAGGCAGAGCAGGAACCAGAGCTGGAGGCCAGAGTGGCCATGCTGGCCATACAACTGGGCATGCTGGTGAGTCAGGAGCCACCTCTGGGACAGATTGGCAATAAGCTGATACCTCCACCCACTGCCCTGAGTCTGCAGTGGGGGTACAAGGGCCCTGGGCAGCCTCTCTCCAACTGGGGTTTGGTGCAGCAGCCCCAAAGTGTAAGGGTGACAGGGAGGCAGGCAGGGTAGGGGTGAAGCAACTACCAGGTTATGATGGGGCCACTGTCCCTGAGCTGTGTATTGGTCTTGCTTTCCAGTTGTGGGATAGGAAAGCCCTGCTGACATTTATCATGAATACACCATGTCTTTGCCATGAGCTCCTGGGCAGCAGAAACCACCCTGCTAGCCCCTGCATGTCAGTGAGCTTCATGGCATGGGAGGTGCCAGGATGGGTCAGCTCATGACAGCTGTCATGTCCCCTAGAACAGTCTTTTTATGAAGCATCAGTTTGGGGAGACTGATTGCAATGACACCCTTCTTTATTCTTCAGGAGGATGCTGAGGAACTATATAAGAAATGCAAACGCTATGATCTTCTAAACAAGTTTTACCAGGCCTCGGACCAGTGGCAGAAAGCCGTAGAAATTGCTGAGCTCCATGACCGAGTTCACTTACGCACCACCTACTACAACTATGCCAAGCACCTGGAGGCCAGCACTGACTGCGGGCTGGCACTTAGTTAGTGAGTGTGGGTCCTGGGCAAGGTGCTGTAGGCCATGAGGCATCTTCCTGACTGCTCCTGGGGTGAGCCCAGAATGTCTCTGTGGTGAGGTGCGCACAGAGGTCCTCAGGAAGAGTCTCTCTCAGGGTTGTCAGTCATCCCCTTGGAAAGCCTTCAGGGTAGCATGGGGTCTGTAGCTTTAGGAGAGCCCCATTGGCTCTCCTCCCTCACACCCCAGCCTACTTCAGGTTTAAGGCCTGTTAAAGAAGAACATCTGTCTCATTACTCGTGCTATAGCACAAGTTGGGCTTGGTGCCTCTGTGCGGGCAAATGAACCACTGTCTGGGCCCCTGCCACAACGTTACCCTTGCCAGAGGGTACCCTTGGCCAAGCTCAGTGTCCATGATCTGGAATTGTGTGGGTAGCACTGAGGTGGGACCAGCCCCCAGGGTCACTACGCTGCAAGAAACTCCTGCTGCGTCCTGACAGTGCACGTGCAGGCTACTGGAGCTGCCAGCAGGGCATACCACCGCTCAGATATGCATCTTGTGATACTGCCTCTTGGCTCATCTGGTCATCATGGGGCTGAGGTAGGAAAGAACGAGGTCCTCCTGCCTTCTCCCTCCACAGCTATGAGAAGTCAGATACCCACCGCTTTGAGGTACCCAGGATGCTCTCAGAGGACCTGCAGTCCCTGGAGCTCTACATCAACAAGATGAAAGACAAGTAAGTGTCCCCACTGGGGGCCAGGAGCCTGCTTCATTACCCTTGCTTACAAGCGTCCTGGGCACAAAGTGGGTCTCCTATTTGCAGGGCGTGTGTCACATACTCTGACTGTGGTGTGGGGACCTGGGTGGGAGGTACCCCAGGTGGGAGTAGGGCCCTGATGGGGAACCTATGGCTTATGGGGCTCCACAGGACCCTGTGGAGGTGGTGGGCCCAGTACTTGGAGAGTCAGGCAGAAATGGATACTGCACTGCACTACTATGAACTGGCACAGGACTATTTCTCCCTAGTCCGCATCTACTGCTTCCAGGGCAACATTCAGAAGGTAAGGGCTTTGTGGTGGGAGTTGGCCTGCTGGTGGAGGCAAAGCCACTGAGTTTCTGTGGGTGTCTCTCCAGGCAGCTGAAATAGCCAATGAGACTGGAAACTGGGCAGCGTCATATCACCTTGCCCGCCAGTACGAGAGCCAGGAGGAGGTGAAGCAGGCGGTGCACTTCTACACGCGGGCACAGGCCTTCAACAATGCCATCCGCCTGTGTAAGGTAACTCAGGGCACAGGTGGCTTCTGGGGGTTCAACTCGACAAATGGAAAAATGTCACTTCCTGGCTGTTTTCAAGAACGGTTGTGAGTTGTATCAAACACTCCTGCCCTGCTGGTTCTCCCCACTCACTGCCCACTCCACCTACCTCACTCACCCCTGCATCCAGTGTGGTTTTCAGAGCAGAGCTGCTGTGCTATGTTTTCTAGCTCCAGGTTCCTGGGCGAGTTGTGATGCTGGCTCATGACCTATGGCCTTGCTAATAGGCAGACCCTTTGTATAAAGCTTTTAGATGCTGTATTCATAAAAATATCCCAAAACTCAGGGTCTCACTTCTGTAAAATTTGGGGTCAGCTATTTCTTACAATGCTCTACAAAACAGAACAAGAAGTGTCTGAGAAGCCTGGTGCATAGTCAGAACAAGGACGGCATCAAGGTGCTGGTTAAAAATTGCAGTTGCATGGCAGTGCCTATAGCTCAGTGGGGAGGGCGCCAGCCACATACACCGAGGCTGATGGGTTTGAACCCAGCCCGGGCCAACTAAAACAACAGTGACAACTGCAATAAGAAAATAGCCAGGCATTGTGGCAGGCACCTGTAGTCCCAGCTACTTGGGAGGCTGAGGCAAGAGGATCTCTTGAGCCCAAGAGTTTGGAGTTGCTGTGAGCTGTGATGCCATAGCACTCTACCCAGGATGATAGCTTGAGAACTCTGTCTAAAAAAAAAAAAACCAAAAAACAAACAAATAAATAAATAATTGCAGTTGCAGAGATCACTTAGTAACATCTTAGACCATGTTCACCATGTTCACAAATCTAAGTGAGCTCTGGGTGCCAGGCAGGAGTTGTCTACACACAGCTACAACAGCTGTCCCTCCTACAGGAGAATGGCTTAGATGACCAGCTCATGAACTTGGCCCTGCTAAGCTCACCAGAGGACATGATTGAGACAGCCAGATACTATGAGGAGAAGGGCGAACAAATGGATAGGGCAGTTATGCTGTACCACAAGGTGAGCCTGGGGAGTGGGGCAGCAGGCACAAGGCTCCTGCCAGAGACTGGGGACACTGCCTGTACAAGGCCCAGTTTTGGGGGCCCCACAGCTGGGCAGCTGCTCAGAGCCCACACTATCCACAGGCTGGCCACTTCTCCAAGGCCCTGGAGCTGGCCTTTGCTACCCAGCAGTTTGCAGCCTTGCAGCTCATAGCAGAGGACCTGGATGAGAAGTCAGATCCTGCCCTGTTAGCCCGCTGTTCAGACTTCTTCATTGAACACAGGCAGTACAAGAAGGCGGTGGAACTGCTGCTGGCTGCCAAGAAGGTACTGCAGGGCTCATGCAAGCACCGCAGCTCCAGGGTCACCTTTCCCACAAATGTAACAGGACAGCCTCACTGTCTCTGGCTACATCTCCCCTGGAGGGGAAGGGCCCTGGGGACGAGCTCAGGCTCACTGCCCACTTTATACACATCATCAGGTTGTGATAGGGAATTGAACTCTCCTGTGGTAGGGAGGAGAGGATACACATAACTCAAAATTTATCATCTTACCCATTTTAAGTGCACTGTTCAGTAGCATTAAGTATATTCACATTTTTATTCAACCAATCTCCATAATTCTTTCATCTTTCCAAACTGAAACTCTGTCCCATTAAACACTAATGCCCAAATCTTCTGCTCAGCCCCTCGTATCTACCTTTCTTCCTTCTGCCTTTGAGTTTGACTCCTCGTGGGACCTCTTATAAGTGGAATCAGACCGCGTGTGGTATTTTGTGCCTGGCTTGTTTCATTAAGCATAATGTCATAGCAGGTGTCAGAGCTTTATTCCTTTTAGGGGTAACATCCTGTTGCCTGGGAGAGCACACTGTGTATATGGTGGTTCTGCCTCTGGTGGCCATGGGTGGCCATGGGTGTACTGGTCTCTATTCAAGACCTTGCCTTCCCAGGGTTTGAGTCTTTACCCAGAAGTGGGGTTCCTGGATCACCTGGTGATTTTACATTGACTCTTTTGAGGACCTGCCAGACTGTTTTCCCATAGACAATGAAAAGGCACATGCTGTGTTCTTGGTTAGAAAGATCTATCCTTGGCTTGGCGCCTGTGGCTCAAGTGGCTAAGGCGCCAGCCACATGCACCTGAGCTGGCGGGTTCAAATCCGACCCAGGCCTGCCAAACAACAATGATGGCTGCAACCAAAAAATAGCC